CTGGGATCATGAGTTCAAATCCCACTCAAAGCATGGATATGTCTGGGTTTATTTGATGTTGATGTTTTTCGGTGTGTAGGTAGAAGCATTGCGATAGACTGTTCGCCCATCCAAGGAGTCCTACCGACTGTGTATCACTCACTCATAGAACTGAGCCCTTATAGAGAAACTGCCAATTGCGCAACTACTCAAAACTTCCAAGCAAATTTAAGGAACACGAAGGTTCATTGTCATGTTCGCAAGAGCCTTCCACTGGTGCATATCCTGAACCAGATAAATCCAATCCATACGATCCCATCCTATCACTCTTAACATGAATTTTAATATTGTACACCCATCTAAGTTTTGTCTTCCCACTGGTCCCTTTCCTTCCGGCTTTCCCACCAATATTCTACGTGCATGTCTCTTCTCCCATTCGAGCTACATGCCATGCCCATTTCATTCTCCTTAACTTGGTCATTTACTTGGAGAAGAGTACACATTTTGAAGCTCCTCATTATGAAGTCTCCTCCAACCTCATGTCACTTCATCTCTCTTCCGTCCTAATATTCTCCTCAAAGCCCTGTTCTCAAACACCCTCAGTCTATGTTCCTCCCTTAATGTCAAAGACCAAGTTTCACACCCATACAGAACCACAGGCAAAATTATAGTTTTGTATATTCTAATTTTTATATTTTTAGACAGCAGACTAGAAGACAAAAGGTTCTGAGCTGAATGGTAGCCAGCATTACACGAGTTCAATCTCCTTTTAATTTCCTCCTCAATCAAGTTTTGATTTGTTATAGTCCTTCCCAAATATCTGAACTGTGCCACATACTCAAAACATCTGTTACCTATCTTTATATTGTCACCTTACAATATTATGAATTTGCCTGCCTTCTGGTGACGAGACAGCAACATATACTTAGTTTCCTCTGTGTTTACTTCTAGACCAAACTTCTTACTTGCGTCGAATAAAGTTTATGTGTTTTTCTTTATGGAATCTACATAGTATCACCCAATATATTCACATCATCAGCTGATGTGTCCCGTTTAATTTCAGTCAAACCTGGCTTTCCTGGACCTTCCCAATGGCATATTCTAAAGCAAAGTTGAAAAGGAGTGGCGATAAAGCATCTCTTGTTATAGACCATTCTGGACAGGAAAATTATCAGGCAGATGTTTACCTATACGAATTTTACCATACGTTTCGTTTAAAAACATTTTAATCAGCCTAATTAGTTTCATGGGTACCCCAAACTCTATCAGAATATTTTACAATACTTCCCTCCTAACTGAATCATGGGCTTTCTTGAAGTCTATGAATAGCTGATGTACTGTCTCACTGTACTCCCACTTTTTTCCTCCAATATCTGACGAATGCAAAAATTTGATCAGTAGTTTATCTGCTACGTTGAAACCCACACTGATGATTTCATCTATGGATGGACTTAACTTTGAGAGAAGAATATTGGATAAAATTGTGTATGAAGTTGATAGCAGTCATATCCCCCTTTAATTACTACAGTAAGTCTTATGACCCATCTTGTGAACTGGTACAATAATGGACTCCTTCCACTGATCAGACAATTTACCCTTATTATAATAGAATTAACCCGGGCTGGTGAGGTGGGAAAATGTAAAAAAATTGTAAGGTGGGTTCCCGCAGACCCCTGATATTCCGTCGACTACATCAACACCACCTTGGGTTTGGTTGTAAAACAGAATGATTTTGGGCTTAAATGTTCTCTCTTCTACATCATCATCATAATGTAATGTGGAAATTACGATTTTTTACACAACTGAAGCTATGGTGATATTGGGTTGAAAATAAAAAATGGTAGTCATTGGGTTTCTTCGCTCGGTACTGATGGAGTCAGGTGACAGTTCTCTTGTATTTTCTTGGTCGTTCCCACCGAAGTTATCTTATGATCGTCTAACAAAGATTCATCCAATGGGTAACTTGTGAATCAATTATTTAACGTCACATAGCGACCTGATCCAGATATAGGTGCAATCATCCTTGTAACAACTTCAGAAGTTGTGTTTGAAATTTTGTATGGGCATTCAGATTGTGCGACAAAGTAAACTTCCAATTTAGAAGTATAAAAGGACTTGGCACCAACCAAAGCTAATACTTTCAGACCAGTTTGCCTCGAATGAACTTCCGGAAACTGCATTGTCCACGAAACGCTTCTAACTTTTCGTCGATCGTTGCGTTTTCTCCTAAATAATATACAGACTCACATACTTCATTGAACTTGTCAAAAATTTCTCTAATTGGAGCCAATTTATTGTAACCAGTTGATCCAAAGAAGAGAAGGTAGTTATAAAACTGGTGTAAGATCTAATTCTCGGCGCCGTTCTGCTTAAATAAACACCTGAGGCTTTACATTTACACTCACAGAATATAATTTCTTCTTCTATTCTACTTTTTCTCAGGGGGTGAGAAAAATTATGTTCTCTCTGACCAAAAGCAATTCTATCCCATTCTATCTCTCTAAGGTCCATTTTAATATTGTCCACCCACCTACGCCTTGGTCTTCCCAGTGGTCTCTTTCCTTCTGGCTTTCCCACCAATATCATATATGCATTCCTCGTCTCCCCATTCGTGCTACATGCACTGCCCATCTCATTCTCCTTGACTTCTATAGACTACATATATCTACAATAGAAATATTTATTCTTTACAAAACTGTCTTCCGATATTTCACACATTCGGGTATTGTTCTGTTAATCGACAACGCTACGGCTTCATTGTCCTTGTGTGAGATGAAATGAACTTATTAACTGACGGTCTTCTTCAAACATGGAATAACCCTCATACACTTTTATTTTATTTATTCTTAGTTTATTTAACGACATTTTCAATAATTCAAGCTACACAGCGAAATATGATACGAGAATTAGTGATTCGCATAAAATGTAGAAGGGGCACGTCTGGCTAGTTTGAGGCGTTGTCCCAGCATTTGTCTGGAGAATCTGAGAAAACCCACGAAACCCTTAAATCAGAATAGCAAGACGCCAGACGTGAGAAAGAACGAGATTTTACTCTGCTCTATTCTTGCTTGGCCTATTTTTCGACCATGAAAATGAAAGCAATATATTCCTTTAAAAAGTCTGTACGTTTATGCCAGACTACACGTAACCAAAATTACCGAAGATAATACTCTTCTTAGTCACTCCGTGAGAGCTTTATATTTTTGCAGTCTGTTTTTTGAACAATTAAATTCCTTCAGACAGCCGCCTTCTATTCTCCACCAAGTCTAAATTGACTCAGGAATCGATCCAGCCTCCTAACGAAATGGCGCCGGGGAAAATCGGCCAGGGAGCGAAGCCGACGACTCACCCCCATCAAATACCAAAGTTAGCAGTGTTTAGGGCTATAACTGTTCCCCTCGTACGTTTTCATGGCGTGGTGAGTAACTCAGAGCAGAGCATTTACTCTTAAATCTGGAAGCAGTTCTTATTCTCCTGTTTTGTCATCAAATGGCGCTTTATCCTTTCAGATATCATCAAGAGGAGCTCAAAGTAATACTTGGAGAACATAACCACTGTGAGGCAGACAACAAAGTTTCTATTTTTTCAGTCGAGAAGATAGTAACACACCCTCAGTTCAACATCACCGTCTACGCATATGACATAATGCTCTTGAAGCTTAACATGAGGATTAATTTTAACGAAGTAGTAAGACCCATCTGTCTCCCACAATTGGGTAAGAGTCTTAAGGTCGACCAACGTACTGTACATTATATTAACATCCCTCAGGATATGTCGTACCCTCCTTAAAGAAGAAAAATCCTGTGTCCAATGAGACCTCCCACGTGACAATTTTGGTTCATACAATTTCGAAATTAAAGAATTACGACCAACGTTTAAGTAACCCGTAACACATTTATGCCTGTTAGTAATGCTGACTTACAAGGAAGAAACTACTACAAATGCAATTCCTTTGTAAGTAATTACGTAAAAAATGCAAACTATGATATTTACGTTAATTTCTCAGAACTACTGCACGGTCTTTTATTTCGCCCCTAGAGCAACACGTTCGACAACGGGCACCTGATTGCAGGCCTCGTGACTGAGAATTAAAGTCAGCCTTGATCAGTGGCGTAATGTGGAAGCGGGGGGCAGAACTCTTTAATCTGTAGATAATTTTATGTAGTAAATTTCCAATTTTGAAAAATTATGTGATCTATAGGCCCTTAGAAAATTTTAAATATTTTCTCAGTATTAAATATTTAATGTTAAATTTTATATTCTATTTGCACTAAGATTCAGAGAGCCAGGAAATATTCCACTGCAAATCTTAAATTCCTTGACTGACTGCAATGGAATATTTTGTAACGAATAAAACACCGTCTACTTAACATTTTGTAATAAGGATTAGAGACGCTCAGTTTTTCTTTAATGGAGTGTCTGAAAATGAACAGCAGCCAGTCTACTTTACTTCACATGGCGACAAGAAATAGTCTACTATTGGTTTAAATATATTGGTTTTCATATCATAATTTTAACTTCAACAATGAATGGAAGACTATTCAATAAAATGATATGTGTATGGCATACTTTTTGACATCTAGAAAGGTTACCCTTAGGCCGCGCCACAGCTCAAGCAGTTAGTCGCTGGCTTCCCACCGCGGCGGCCCGGGTTCGATCCCAGGTCTGGTAAAATGGTTTTTGTGGTGAACAAAGTGGCGCTGGGGTAGGTTTCCTCCGAGTACTTCGGTTTCCCCTGCCAATCTTCATTCCACCAATTGCTCCACAATCACCCTCACCTATCATCTGGGGCTGGTACAATAGGCCAGAAGTGGCCGCAGTACACCACAAGCATTAAAAAAAAGGTTAGCCTTCGGCATATGATTCAATTTTTACCTTATTTTTAGCCTACTTTCCTTATTCCCACATAATAGGAGCAGGCTTATGCGATGACATAATATTGTATTTCAGCGTCCTATTGCATTAAACCTCACTCACTCACTTCCATCTATAAATGTAAAAACAAAATTTTATTTTATTTCACTTAAAATTACATTTAAAATTAATGAAATATCTTTCAAATGTCATTTGTTTCTTCAGGTTTCAGCCTCATGAATTAGCCAGCAATTAACTGAAGGAATCACTAAATTGAATGGGCTCACACGTCAATATTAATATGCCGTCATATTTGCACTCTCTCCATGCTGTTTGTGTGTTGCGGAGTTTATATTCTGTAATGTGCAATCTGTGTGTTAATGCCAGATTTATTATAATTGTTTACTAATTTCTTCTGTGTGTGTCTGTATGTGCTCCATATCGTCCAGACCGGATTTGGGGTCCACCCATCCTCCTCTCCAATGGGTATGGGGGTTCTTTCTCCGAAGGTAAAGCGGCTGGAGCGTGAAGCTCACCACTCACCTCCAGCTAGTGCCGAGATCAAAAAATGTGTATCTATCCATCCACTCCCCATAGGCCTTCATGACGTGGTGCCTAATTAGTTAAGCACAGGGACAACTTTACCTGTTTTACGTATGTCTGAATGTGTCCCTTTGTACTTAAATGTTTCTTGTACGTGGTTTTCAGAGTGAGTTAATTGCTCAAATTTTGCATGTGGTTGTAAGACAGGCGTTCAGAAGCAAATTTGAAATAGGAGACAGGGGCACACGATCGGTCTTCCTTTCGGAATTCCAAACGCTATCAATATCACAAGTCGTAACTTTCACAGAGGCGTTTCCAGGCCCCACGTTATGTTCAGACTTAATTACGGAGCTAGTAGCCGGCAGTTAATGTTACCCAAGCTGAACATCGCCCGATTTTGTTTTTAATTGGTGAAGAGAAGATTTATATGCGCTATTGGCTGTTTACTTACTTACTTACTCATGGAGCTGAGCCCTTCTGGAGGAGCCGCCAATTCTGCAGCTACTCAAGAATTCCCTATCATTTTATGGTTCATTACCGTGTTCACAAGAGCCTTCCTCTGGTCCCTATCCTGAGCCACATCAATCCAATCCATACCATCCCATACTATCTCCCTAAGATTAATTTTAATATTGTCCACCCACATACGCCTTGGTCTTCCCAATGGTCTCTTTCCTTCTGGCTTTACAACCAATATTCTATATGCATTCCTCGTCTCCCCCATTCGTACTACATGCCCTGCCCACCTTATCCTCCTTGACTTGATCATTCTAATTATACTTGGAGAAGAGTACAAGTTATGAAGCTCCTCATTATGCAGTTATCTCCAACCTGCAAGCTGTTTAAGCCAGCCAATTATAATCCCGAGGGCGACGTTCTGTTCAAGATGTGAAACTGATGATGGACGCCTTTCTGCAGAGACGCTTTACATTTCAGTGATGGAGCTCGGGTGAGCCCGACAGCCATGCGGCCCCATAATTCTGTAAAATCAACTTCGTAACCATTCGGCTTTAGGGACAATAAACCCATTAGTTAACTTAACAGAAATCGTTATTTCATCAGTCCAGCAAAAAAGAACAAGCAGTATTTCGGAAACTCTGGAAATGTTTCTGATTGCATCTTGCCAAAGCCACAGAGGAAGGGAACTAGTGTGAATATGAGCGTGGCGCGCGTGTATGTGGAGCCATGTAAGTGCAATAATAAACAGCCAGAACAAACCAATCGTCTTCTGATGGACTGAATGTGTGTCGCGTGGGTGTGTACTTTCTAGTCGTCTGAATTACAGCCTGCTAACTTTCTTGGGACAGAGTCAATTATCTGCCTTACCTGCGCTAATCCAGTAAACCCAACTGTGAAAATAGGTCCAGCTTAAATCATTACAGGGTTCCTCTTACGCGGAATCCTTCTTGAGCAAGATAAATCATCTTAATACCGAAGTGAACGGAGAAGTTCATGGAGGTAGGCCTAGGCCCACTGGGGCTGTAGTGCCAAGGAAAAAATCATTTTACTGTCCTCAGGTTCTACTGTAGCAGTTAATAATTCTTAACCTGAATCATTCCAAAGTCCAATCCACCGTTATTCCTTCAGCGCTCCCATGGAGTCCTAAAGAGCAGCTACGGCTAACATAAGTGTCGTCGAAAGCAGGCTTGAAGAGCGCTTACAATAAGCGCAAGCCACTTTTTCTGTATAAAACATTAGGAAATTAAGAAATAATGTTAATGTCTTTCACATGTTTGACTCATTGTATTCACCATCTACGGTATTGTATACCAGTTTTAGGGCAGACTATGTCCCTTCAGTTACAAGAAGAAGAAGCGACTGCATTGGGTTGGGGAGTTCTTAGATTTCATTCACCTGTGCGTTCATGCGAACTTCAGCAAGTACAACTACCCATCATTCCTCATTGGCAGTGTCTCAAGAAAACAAAGTATACTCCCCAGCTGCTTCCATTAACGTTGTTTTGCGCAGGACTTCCACAAGGAGGCAAGGACTCCTGCCAGGCAAGTTAGCCTTAGTTAATGATTAATCCACTAGCAATGGGTTTCAAATGTGTCAATGGGGGAAAATTTTATCAGTTAATTTTATTCTCCGTCGTTATATCAACTGGTGGATAATCGACTTCTATCAGGTTAGGTGCATAGGTAAAAATTAGTTATCTTACACATAAAATGTTTAATTTCTCCTTAATGAAAAATTATGCGTCTTATATGTAGGTGTGTCTTACACAATTAGAAATACGTGAACATTATATATACTTTTAAGTATGCGTGTTTTGTATTCTAATTATCAAAATTCGACAAATTAGCACATATTTTACTTTTCCAGGGAGATAGTGGAGGCCCACTTCAAGTGATGAACAAAGACGGAAGATACGTGATCATAGGTATGAATCCTATAATCTCTAATCTGAGTATTGAATTGGATATTTGAACAAGATTCGAGACCTAGTAATCAACAAGAAAACAACAAAAGCCCGCAGCATGTTAAGTGTATTTGTGGCCGGCTTATTAACAGCAGTTCAGCAAACCAAAAGCACGTTACAGAGAAACATATATTTCTACAGCGATGTGTTGAACTCAAAGAATATATATAAGATGGATTATATGGTGCATACAAAATTTTGTTTATGATATAAAATACAGGTTTTATAATCGGTCACTACGGCTAGAATTCTGAAAGGCTGAGTCACCTTAGGCAAAGATCTCTCACATAGAATGTCACAGGAAATTCTTTAACGGTTTATGATATACACGAGAAAGTACTGACCTTAAGTAAAGCAAACTTTGTAATCGGCAAATGTCGCTAGAAATCAGCATGGGCAAATAATATTATATAAGGATTATTAATTTCCAATTTTATCCGAACTGAATTAGTATATTATGACGTACAAGAAGAATACGTTTGGTAAAGTAAGCTTTCTTGTGGATCAGTAATATTGAATTTACGGAAAAATGTTTACAAAATCTACGATGTTGAATTTTAAAAATGTCTCTCAAAAGACTCATGCCCTGAAATTAGATCACAAACAGAATGAGAGTTGCGACGTGCACATAAGACGTTCATTTTGTCCTTGTAAGAAGTGTCTAATTAGGTTCGAGACCTGAATTCTTATGTCACATGTCACAAAATCATTGTCATCTGAAGACCCGAAGATTACGCATAAATGCAGACCATGGAATAGAGGGAGACAAAGAAAGAGGCAATTTAGCGGCCTCCGTAGTCTAGAGGTAACGTTCCCACCTCATGACTCGTGGTACGCGGGTTCAAACCCGGCGGAGGTCGTGGAATTTTTAAGGGCGGAAAAATTCAGGGAACAAG